TTGCAATAAAGAGAAACACTTAATGGTTTCAGCCACAGACATGCGGCTGTAGCAGTTGCAGGTAGTCACGCCGAGCCATGTGTGACGTGATGCAGGTTTATGTGAAAACCAGATGTGCGCTGTTTGCTTTATTTACATTTTTAGGACCAAGAGAAAGAGAGACTTGGAGAGAGAGGGAGAGAGAAGTTCGTGACGTCAGACATGTTTATGACCCGTAATAGCAGCATTTTTGGAGTAAAGAGGGAAAAAAAGTTGAGTCGAGTTTGGTAAATCACACAGACCACAGATCCACACTTCAGCACTGACTTGACAGTGTAAACGTGTAGGCTTTTTCCACGCGAAGAAAAATAAAATGCCCCCCGGTAGGTACTCAGGCTACAGGTGTCAGACTTAGAAAATAATACAAAAAATAAGTAGCATTTAAAAATTTCAACAGGCGCATAAAATCAGCATAAAAAAAGCCAATTTTGGCAACAGGCGGGGGTAGAAACACTGGTTTTAAATACAAATAAAGACAGTGGTTTGCTAAAGGTTTTAACATTTACTATCATTTCACTGTGCGCAGTCTTCAATGAAAGGACCCCAAATTGTCCCTCAAACATTACCTGATCCAAGAGACGGTGGTGTCTTACCTTGACGTAAGACGACGTGTCAGGGACAGTTTGAAACATGTCTACTTGACAGAGACAGGCCCAAGGGTGCTCAGTGTCCAATGGGCCCTGAGAAAAAGGAAAAGAAGACAAACAATTATCGAGATTTCTTTCACCATTATTTATTGATTTTATTATTTCATTTAAACGTTATTTACACTTGCTGAACTGCAAACATCCACAGAGTACCGCGTGTTTTCACGTGTTTTAAGAAGTCCGGCGTAGTGCACACATGGGTTACCACTTCCACCAAAATAAAGAGAAAGTCAAATTTGCTTAATGGCCCCCGTGCACGTCAGACTCCACGCATAATGGCTGGATTCATTCATAAAGCTCTCATTTTTTTTTCACCAGTGGTCAGCGGTATTAGATACGGGTACCTTTTAATTACCGCTGTCCATAGCTGACATTCAGAAACACCATTAGACGGAAATTACACCACTGACCTACTGCTAACATGGATGAATTACTTCATGTCGCCCAATAGGAGTTGGGCAGAAAAAAAAAAAGAAAAAGGAGGGCCCCATCCCAACCCCCATCACGTTTTCCCCCTAAAGCTTACCACATATTGAAACACTTTTCGCTTTAATAAGTGCAGCTTACAAAGTCTAGGGTGAAAGGGCACTTAGAGGACGGTGTTTTTTAGTCCATTCCCTCCCTCTGCAATTATTAGGAAGGCAACGGCACACGGCACCAGAAATGGGTCTTGTGCTACGTGATAAAGCAAATAAATGTATATGGACTTGCAGGACGCACCATTAAAGCTTAACATATTTTAACAAGGCGTACGGGACATCGTCGTCCTGTTCAGCAGCTATGCTGCGATGTGTCATGATTAGAAGCATGCAGTCGTGGCCATATTTTGATAATCGATTTTTTCCCCCTGCTGTACACATTTTTATTTTTGATGCTGACTCCAGACCACGAGCTTTTGGCATCTTGTAGAAAACACCTGTCAAAAAATCCAAGAAAAAAACCCATGTTTATACCAGAGAGTCACAGCAACACAAGCTCTCTCTATGTGCAGCGCAATTTCGAGTCTCTTTTTCGTGCCTCGTGATAAATTGACCAAGGAAGAGTGCATTATACATGAACGTGGCACGGTTTTAAATCCCTTTATTTTGAAGTTTGTTTTTTTTCTTTCGATTCCTTCGGGCAAAAGCAGAGCTCGCCTCATAAAGTTCCCCAAATGCATCCAATTTCTACGCGGTAAAAAGACCATAGGATACCGCATCTGCAGCCAATTAGGCAGAGGAGGACTGGTGAATAACGGCGTGAACCTTCCTCCGAGACAGCCCCGTGGGCCGGGACCCCTCTAGTGTTACATTTTAAGCATCTTACCTTGCTGTTATCCATCACAAACGAGAGCCAACTGATTTTCGGCTAATACGCATTCCATTTTGTTTGTCTTACCTTCCCCAAAGTTAGACTGTGAAGAAGTGGCTTGACAAAAGATTATCAGGTTATTGCTTTTCGATATAATTCGACCCTTAAGTGGGAAAAATAAAAGTCTGATGCAACGATACACGAAGATTAGCGCAACTATTAAGATGTAGCTGCTGCAGTTTCATTTCACTTTTGGAGTCATTCCGAAACGTCCACTCTCGCTCGAGGTGCAAACTCTACATCCGTTTACGACGTGACTGGGCATCAATAAAAGCAATAAAACAAGCAGAAGTGATTTATTATCCTCCCGCATTCTCACCCACGCTGTGCACAGTTTACACGACTCCGTATTTTGAGGATTATTTTTCCTCACTCACCTGTCGTTGTTGTGCCAGACGCTTGATCTCTCTTTCTTGCTTTCCTTTTTCCGATTGCAGCTAATCACTCCCCCAATTTTAAATAATTAGTCCCGTCCAGGCAAAACCGTTTTCCGAATGATGATGACAGTGAGTTATTTTGAAAGGGGCAAAAAGGAGCGCCGGCTGTATGAATGGAAATGTTAGAGAGATTGAAAAGCCGCGACCAATGAGCAGAGAGAGAAAAACCTCCCCTCGCCCGGCGGTGTGAGGCCACTGAACCATGAAATAAGGGAGAAGCAGAGAGAGGGAAAGAGCGTCATAAAGCTGATTTATAAAGCCTGTTGTTGAAAGAAAGTGTCGATATATTTTTTAAGTGCAAAAAAAAAAGATATTTTGAGCAGCTTTATTATTTATTACAACGAGCAGGCAAATATCAGACAGATGGCACATTGGGCAAACTTCAAAAAGAAACCAGAGCCACCTTTTGTGTTCAACAAACTTGTTGTTACCTATCCAGAATAAAGTTGTAAACAAAGTTCGTTCGTGGGTGTAATTAAAACATAAAGCAATTTATATGACAGATACTGAGCAAGCCTGAAAGTGTTATCCACAAGAAACTGACTTAGTGAGGAAATCTCCCTCTGCCACGCAAACAAGCACCCCCTCCAGTTATTAATACTGATGCTAATATTAATAATCAATTATCTCTCAGGAGTAGCTTTTCCGTTCATGTTCCTCTCTGTCCTCACGGTGACAGTCCCCGCAGGAATAAAACAGCAAAACGAGTTCCTTTTCCTGCATCTGACCCCACTCGCTTCACTAAATTCATTTCCTTCACGTCTCTGCCCTCATCTTCGACCCGTAGTCCTCCAAAGGGTGTGGGGGCAATTCACGGTGAGGAAAGTCGCCCAACCATAGCATTTTATAGCCTCATCAAGGTTGCTATTTCACGCAGGGTAACCAAAGTGAAACAGAGAAGTTGGTTGTAACTTGTTGCGTGCGAGAGCCTATAAGATATGCTTAAAATGAGTGTGAAATGTTGGATCTGATGCGGCTTTTTTAAGACCTCTCATACTTTGTAACATACTTACATACTTGTCAGAGCAGAGCTGTAATGTCCGCCTCCATAGCATACCTTTGTGATGGGATTGCTTCAGGCTATAAAACGAGGTCAAGAAAATAAATACATTTATGTTTTTTTCTGACACATGTCTTTAATGACAGGCGTCCGAAAACAGTCTTAAAACGCTAAGATATGGCCTACCGAGCGCCTTCACTCATTCTTTTACAGTGATGGGGTCATCTGGTAAAAAGGTCGTCTTTCATCACCGGCTAGACCTTCTGTTTGTTGCACCGTTTCCTAATGCAGTGATTAAGAACAACAACGCTGATAATAGTGTTCCCAGCATGAAACAATTGGCGGAAATCCCAACATCCTTTTTATTGAAAAATGGCATTCATGCGCCTGCTTTGTTGCCTTCCTCAGGGTACAGCAGAAGACTTTTCTAACACATTTGAACAGCAGCTACTACAGTTTTACAAAAGAAATAGACAAAACAACAACAACAACAACAACGAAGACAGAGTATATGTTCATCTATATGCTGCACAGTGCAGGGTTTTATTAACATCCAGCTGTCTCAGTCCAAAGAAAGCCCAGGCTTTTATTTATTTTTGTTCACTCTCAAATCAACACTGAATGCCTCCCATATTTACTGAAATCTAATTTTTGTGAACAACAGGAAACAGAAGTTGTCATATATTAGCACTGGGGGACAGTTTTACACCTATAGTGTTGTGCTATCTTGCACTTTTCACTGTTGTTGTTTTTTTGGGGGGGTTTCCCTGAGACTGATAGTAAATGTGTAATGTGGCTCATTATGCCTCCTGCAAATGGTCCAGGCAAACATGCTGGCAGCTTTATGTGTCTTGTTTTAATATTGTTTAGCATCTAAGCCCTAATGTTGCAAACAGAATCTCATTGTGTGCTTAAGCAAGCAGACGTAACCCCTCTCTGCCGCCGGTGCCGAGCAATCTGCCATCAGCAGTTTTGCCACAAGCAGTCGACTGCTAGTCCTCGCTCTGCACTGGTATGTTAACATTTGAGAGCGCCTCTTCTCTTGGGATTCACAACAGAAACACTTTTATTTGAGATGATGCGGGCAAACCTGCAGACATCTGTGATTGCATCGCTCAGAGTAAATGAAGCTCCTCGCTCTGAACTGTAATGAGTTATTTATTTAGCTGAAGAGGCTACTGAGAGATGATCTGAAGATGGAGATTATTGGTCCAATCCAAACCTTTCTTTTGTAGCTCCTGGGGGAGAGAGAAAATGGCAGTGTGGCACCAGGGAAGGCAGGGCAGAACCTCAAATGTTTTCACGCAAGCTCCCAGGCACTTATGATCCAGACGTGGAACGGTGCTTTTGCACTGGGCTCATGTTCAAAAGAGTGAAAGCCACTATATGTATCTTGTGTGTGTGTGTGTATGCCTGTGTGTGTGTGAGTACCCTGAACAACAGCAAGGAGATGGCAATGTAAAAAGTGACAGATGAGGTTCTTTTGGGAAGACTTCAACCATCTACCCTCTCTGAATTCTCGAATAAAACAAGCTGAAGGAAGGAGAAAGTAAAAGTTTCTTTTCAGCTGCTTGCAAGGGCAAAGACACTAAACCAGCACCAGAGTGTGGAGTGAAAACAACAAAGAAACAATCACAAAGCTGCATTCTGTAGGTCCATAGCAGACAGCAGCCCACTTCTGTGCACGTGTGTAGTGATAATTAGAGAGGGGAAGTATTAAATTAAAGCAAAGCAGTCATTTTATGAGCCAAGCATTTATGAAGGTAATAGCGTCCCTATAAATTAACGACCTCCCGATGTCTCTTAATGTGTTTCCCCTTCGTCAGGTCCGGAGAAAAGCACTGATACTTCAACTATTTGACCCCCACCTGTTCAGTCTTGGTATTTTCGCTCCCGGGAATAATGCTGAGACCAGAGCTTGGGAGTGGTGTTGAGACAAAACGCACGCTGCCACTTCACACAGTGTGTTCTGGTATGTCTTTAATCAAAAGAAGAGTGGTCGGTGTCTTTTTGTGAGACACCTTGTCCACATAATTGCTTTTCCCAACACCACAAATTGGTCTGAATTCACAACCTCATACACACTGGTCTTCCAGACCACCTATCCCATGCCAGTTCAGCCGTAAGTGTTGGCACACCCTGCCTCTATAGTCCAGACAGGACATGGCAAACCAAGGTGCTCGCTTTACATTTTAAATCAGTCTCACTTGCCAAGGGGGGAGTCATCCCTACACGAACAACACGAGGCTGAAATAAAGCCCCAGAAAATGACTGCTCCTGTGGAAAAAAAAAAACAGTTGGGAGAGTGAGAGCAGGAGGAAAGCAGTGCCATTTAGAAAGCCTAAATCATCCCCTGAACTATAAATCCTGTGACCACTCATCATTCAGCAGCATTTTAAAAACCCCTTAAAGAAAAACACTGAGTGAAATGAATATGCTGTCACCTCTCATTTGGGTCTGGCCCACTAGCTCAATAAGAAAAGTGTTGTTCCCTGGAAGGCTGCTAGTCTGAGCTGAGCTCTCAGGTTTAGGGTTTACCCCTGTCCCTCATTCTCAATGCTTTGAGGCCCAAGTCTCTCTCGTTCCTCCCCCACGTCCCCCCAGACATGTCTGACAGGCTGAACTCGATGTGGGCTGCTCACCAGACTACAAAAATCATTCATCTGTGGCTTCAGACGGTCAAATCTGGATCTAATAAAGGGAGCCTGCCTATTGATCCTATTTACAAGGGACGGCAGTGCAAACTCTTACCACTTGGGGGCTCTGTAGCTCAAGTTTGTGACGGCTTCTTGATCACTCTGGTACAGTTGCTCATCATAGGAGATAGGAAGGGCGAAATCTTCTAAGTAAACTGATGTGATTTGTTATTAAAACAGCATCTATTCCTGTCTTAATAACTTTTTTCACATTGATTTTCTTTTAAATGTCTTATATCTAAAGGCAGTGTTTTATATAAATGTGTTAGCACAGATAAAAAAGAGATATTGACATCTGCAAGATAAGACATTCCTGTTCTGGACTATTTGAAGCTTTAAAAACAGAACTTGTGGGGTTATTGAATCCAAAGATAACAACAGTCTCCTCCTTTTCCAGCCATGACACAAACAACCACGTAGAATCAAAAATAAATAAAATAACCCATGAGTGTATTATGTATCGATAATGTCGTTTCCAGGTCGTTTCGTTCTAAATATTAGGAGAGAAGCAGAGTGAAGGCACGGGGAAAATCCTCACACTGACAGAAAAGCCAGAAGAAGCATCTAAGAATGAAATGGGACGCATGGAGAATGAGTCAGAGCTACTTTCAGGGTTGTGTTTACGTGTCGGTGAGGGCACTACCCCAAACGCCTAGGCAAAACCACAGCATTCCATGTAAGTCTTAAAGAGACAGAGCGACGCTGTCATCGTGGGTATCTGGGGCGTAAAGCGTTAACATATGGAGAGGGCTATTTGAGACAGCTGGTGAGAGGCGCAGAATCAGTAGGTGGCTATGCCAGCACTACGATGGCATTCAAGTTGGGTGTCAGGTAATCTCTGAGAAAGTGCAGATTTATGCATTTTTTAAAATTTCACATTAGTTTCACTAAAATTGGACTCTTTTTTTCTTTTTGATTGAAATCCAAACAGACTTGAGGCTTGTGTCTTGCTACAGCTAAAAAAGAAAAAGGGAACAAAAACACAGGTTACTGTGGCTACATTTCGGAGACACTACAGAGGGCAGAGTTGAGCCGTGAAACAAGTGAGAGGAGAGGAGAGCTCCACACACGAGCAGAGGCAGGCTTGTGTTTGAAACTTTTTCTGTATCAATCACAAAGATTTGATTTAAGATTTGCCAAAAAAAATAATAAATAAATTAAAAAAAATACCAGAAGGCCAACTACACAACCAGTATTTCTGCCTTGCTAGCACTGCCATGCTAGTCCCTGATGTTACACAGGTTTCCAGAGGTTTCTAGGTAGGTGAACTGAGGTGTATTCTTGTATCTAGTTTGTAGTTTTAGCTAAAATCCTTCACAACGTGGCAAAACTGGCACATACAAGAAGCTAGTATTAATTCTGAAAGTGTCTTCACTCAACATACAGACAGCAGAGTGGCTTGAGAAGTCTGAAGATGACAGGCCCAGTTTACATGCAGAGGAAAAAAAAGCTCACTGCTAGGAAGAGCACAAACCAAG